TGCTGCTGCTGCTGCTGCTGCTGCTGTAGGGCGACGCAAGCAGCTAGCTAGCCACGCCCGGCTAGCCACCGCTAGCTAGGCGTTGCTGGCTACTTGCTTTTGGCTAGCCACAGCTAGCTGGACTTCGCTAGCTCGGTACTGCCCCAACTGGCTAGCTACACTTAGCTAGCCACAGCTAGCTAGCCACAGCTAGCTGGCCACATTTAGCTAGCTGCAGGTAGCTAGCTGCATGCGCTGCAATTCGGAAAGAATGGGGCCTCTGCTGCTCTGGCTGGCGCCGCAGCTAGCTAGATAGCTAGCTAGCTAGCGAGCTGGCTAGCTAGCTAGCTGGCTAACTAGCTGGCGAGGGCCCCCACTGTGCAGCTAGCCCGCTGGCTAGCTGGCTAGTTGGCTAGCTGCCTAGCAAACTGACTGGGCAGCTAGCTAGCTAGCTAGCTGGCTAGCTAGCTGGCTAGCTGGCTAGCTAGCTAGCTGGCTAGCTAGCTAGCTAGCCACGCAACGGTTCTGGGGAAGAAGACAGACTCCTTCACTGGTGGTGTCTGTGTCGGTGTGCTGCTGCGATGAGGGGCTCCACTGCTGCGTCTGCTGCTGCTGCTTCTGCCGCTGCCGCTGCTGCTGCTGCTGCTGCTGCTGCTGCAGCGCGGCCTCCAGCTCCTTGTCTCTCCTTCGCCATCACGTAAGCCACAATTTCAGCAGAAGTGGGAGAAGCTGTGGGGCCCCTTTGTTTGCTCTTTAAAGCTGTTTCTATTTCAGCTTTCACGCTGCACTCCAGCAGCAGCTGCTGCTGCTGCTGTTGCTGCTGCTGCTGTTGCTGCTGGTCCTGCAGCTCGGTCTCTTGCTCTTCCGCCTGCTGCTGCTCGCGCCAAGAGTCCTGCCACCTTGCTGCTGCTGCTGCTGCTGCTGCTGCAGCTGCCGCAGCTTCTTGTTTGGCTGCGTCGCTCGCTCTGCGGTCCGCTCCCTCCCCGCGGCCCTCGCTGCTGCTGCTGCCGCTGCTGCTGCTGCTGCGTTTGAGGGCGCGTTTGCGGTCGCTGTCTGCATGCAGCAGCAGCAACTGCGGCAAGTACATTTCCCTGGGAAGCCAGAAGAGAGAGCTGCAGCAAAGTGCAAACAGCAGCTGGCGAACTTGCTGCAGCGGCAGCTGCCGCGGCAGCAAACCAGCAGCAAAAGAAGCAGCAAACAGCTGCGGCAGCCCCTCCAGCTGCTCCAAGCAGCAGCAGCGGGAGACTTGCTGCAGCACGCGGCCCAGCACGAACAGCTGGAGCAGCGCGTTCTGCTGGTGTACAGACACTGCAGCAGATGGCGAGAAGCAGCAGCAGCAATCCATTCCCGTCAGCGCAGCAACATGTCTGCAGCAAAACAAACAAATCATTTCCTTCATTCTTCTTTTTAGTTGCTGCTGCATTTCTTTACTTTGCTGCCCTTTACTCCATCAAAAGTTCTCCTCCAGGTGTAGATAAAGCCACAGCAGCAGCAGCAGAACCCGCGACAGCAGCAGCAGCAGCAACACAACCGCCTCAACAACAGCAGCACCACAACCTGCCTCAGCAGCAAAAGCAGCAGCAGCAGCAGCAGCAGGGCTTACGCATGCAGGTCGAGCAGCAGCGCATGCAGCGCCTCCCTAGTGAGCGCGAGCTCCACGTGCTGCGGCAGCTGCCCTCCTTGCTGCTGCTGCTGCTGCACCAGCAGCAGCAAATCTTCCACCTGCCACCCCAGTGCCCAAGCCGCTCGCTGCAGCGGACTCGCCACGCGCCAGTCTATCATGCCCTCGCTGCTGCTGCTGCTGCTGCTGTTGCAGAAGCTGCTGCTGTTGCTGCTGCTGCTGTTGCTGCTGCTGCTGCTGTCCGCTCTTGCGGCAGCAGCAACTGCTGCGCGGGCAGCACACAGAGGAGGGGCCAGAATGCGAGCAGGCTCGGCGGCTGCAGCAGCAGCAGCAGCAACAGTAGAACCCGTTGCTGCTGCTGCTGCTGCTGAAAAAGAATATCCCTCATCACTACGCGCATCTGCATGCGCCGTGTCTCCCAAACTGCAATCTGTAGAAAGCGATGCTGCTGCTTGCTGCTGCTGCTGCTGCTGCTGCAGCTGCGCCAGCAAGGGTCCCTGATGCTGCTGCTGCTGGTGGGGCTGTTGTCGCGGCTGCAGCAGCAGCAGCAGCTCCTGCTGCTGTTGCTGCTGCTGTGTCTTGGAGTAAGACTTGCCAAAGCTCTCGGAAAAAACCTGCTGCTGCTGCTGCTGCAGCTGCTGCTGCTGTTGGTGTCTCTGCTTCACACAAATCCCGTCTTGCTGCTCCGCCTCCTTCCTCGCCCTCACTGCTTGCAGATAAGCGTTCCTGCAGCCACCCAAACCCTAAACCCCAAACCCTAAACCCTAAACCCTAAACCCTAAACCCTAACCTGAATCCGTGCTTTTTGACGGTGAAGTAGCGGCGAACGCGTTTGCCCTTGATGTGCCAGCTGGCAGCCCAGGCTTTATAATCCCTAAACCCTAAACCCTAAACCCTAAACCCCAAACCCTAAACCCTAAACCCTAAACCCTAAACCCTAAACCCTAACCTGAATCCGTGCTTTTTGACGGTGAAGTAGCGGCGAACGCGTTTGCCCTTGATGTGCCAGCTGGCGGCCCAGGCTTTATAATCCCTAAACCCTAAACCCTAAACCCTAAACCCCAAACCCTAAACCCTAAACCCTAAACCCTAAACCCTAAACCCTAACCTGAATCCGTGCTTTTTGACGGTGAAGTAGCGGCGAACGCGTTTGCCCTTGATGTGCCAGCTGGCAGCCCAGGCTTTATAATCCCTAAACCCTAAACCCTAAACCCTAAACCCCAAACCCTAAACCCTAAACCCTAAACCCTAAACCCTAACCTGAATCCGTGCTTTTTGACGGTGAAGTAGCGGCGAACGCGTTTGCCCTTGATGTGCCAGCTGGCAGCCCAGGCTTTATAATTTCCATCTCTTTTATAATAAACTCCTCCGATTTTTGGAAGTTCTCTTCCCCCGGGATCGTCTCCGGGATCGGGATCGCCTCCGGGATCGTCTCCCAACTCCTCCCCCTCCGCCCCACACTCCTCCTCCCCCCGCTCCGACTCCCCCCCTGCTGCTGCTGCTGCTGCTGCTGCTGCGGGGGTCACTGGATCCCCGGCAGCAGCATCTGCTGCGCCTGCTGCAGCACGCGGCCGCCGCTCCATAAGGGCCCTGCAGCACAACAGCAGCAAACGAGACGCCCCTGCTTTTCTGAGAAACTCCAACCAGCAGCAGCAGTAGCAGCAGCAGTAGCGGCAACAGCAGCAGCAGCAGCAGCAGCAGCAGCAGCAGCAGAGGGAACGGGTACCTGGAGGCGGCATCATCTTTCCCTGCAGCTGCAGCATGGGCTCGCTCCTGCGTTGCTGCAGGGCTGGCTGCTGCTTCCTTGCCGCCGCCTGCAGCAGCAGCAGCAGCAGCAGCAGCGCTGCTCTTGCTCTGGTGCTTCCCCAACTCCTCAGCAGCAACAGCCCAAGCAACAGCAGCATCAACTCCCTGCAGCAGCAGCTGCAGCCGCCGCTCCATTGCAGCAAGTTGTGCTGCAGGAGAAGCAGAAGGGGCCATTGAAGCAAAAGTGTTTGCAACCCTCACGGGGGCCCCCCCGAGGGGCCCCTGTACCCTGTGGGGCCCCACAGGGGGGCCCCCCGGGCCCACGGGGGCCCCCCCGGGGGCCCCCCCAGGGGATGCCCCTCTGCGGGGCCCCAGGAGCGGCGGAGCGAGGTCCCCCTGGTCTGCCGGCGCTGCTGCTGCTGCTGCTGGAGGCGCTGCTGCAGCTGCTGCCGTTGCTGCTGCTGCTGCTCCTGCAGCAGCAAAACGATCGACGAGGTCTCTGTCGAAAACTTGAAAAAGAGATAAAGGAAGGGGAGAAGAACGGACAAGAGAAACAGCTTTTTGTCTTGCTGCTTCGAAGCCGTCTTCGCCCACGGGAAAGTGGCGAATGCCCACGCGGTACCTGCTGCTGCTGCTGCTGCTGCTGCTGCTGCTGCTGCTGCTGCTGGAACAACCCACTGACTCCAGGTAATAAGCCACCCAGCACCGCCCGTGCTCGTTCCGCTGGTATGTCACACCCAACACCTCCTCCAGCTCCTGCACACAAACCCTAAACCCTAAACCCTAAACCCTAGACCCCAAACCCTAAACCCTAAACCCTAAACCCTAGACCCTACACTCAAGACGTGGGCACGAAGGCACTTTCGGAATGGACGAGCACGTGCTGCGCTCCCTGGCCCTAGAAACTGAACCCCAAACCCTAAACCCTAAACCCTAAACCCTAAACCCTAAACCCTCACGGGGATGAAGGGGTAGTTGGTGGGTTCTTCTTCCACCTTTTCCGCGTCTCTGCGGATGCAAACCGCCAACCTCCAGGCCCTCCTAAACCCTAATCGTTTGACTGGAAACCACTCGCGGTGTTTCTTCTGCCGCGCGTGCCACTGACTGATCCAGTACAAACCCTTGCGGTCGAAGCAAACCCCTGCAGCAGCAGCAGCAGCAGCAGCAGCGGCGGCGGTGAGGAAGCAGCAGCAGCAGCGGAGGCGAGGTCGGGCTGCGAGAGCAGCAGCAGCACGTGCGCTAGCAGCGGCAGGGGCTGGGGAGGCAGCAGCAGCAGCAGCGGCAGCAGGGAACCTGGAAGCGGCAGCAGCCAGCAGCAGCAGCAGCAGCAGCAGCAGCAGCAGCAGCTGGAAGCAGCAGCAGCAGCAGCAGCAAACAGCCGAGAAGCAACTAAACACAAGTAAGAAGCGGAAAAAAAAGGAGAAAAAAGAAAACGCAGAGGGAA